ATTATTTTGATTGCATTTAATATATTATACTTTCAAGAAAGCATTTGCATTGGGTTTGTAAAAAGCAGTTTTTATGCATGTTTTAGCCTGAGTTTTTGTTGCATTTACACAGTTTTGACCAGCAGGCGTCACTAGCGTGTGGTGTTTCGAGCGCTTTGAAACTGAATCATTTTGCGAAGCAATTGGTTCAATTGATTCAAAGCTTTGAAAAGGTTTGTTTCTCCCATAACTATTACAAACTGTGAAACGGCTGTTGGAGTTCTGATATCTAATATTGCACTCTTATCAACCAATCAGATTCGAGGACCAGAAAGAACTGTTGTATAAACATATAGCATATAAAAAGAAACAGCATTTGACAAAAAAAATAAATAAATTCCTTATTGACTCATTATTTGATCAATCTGATAAAAGTTCAGACATTTTTATATAAAACTAAAAAATGCAAAATTAAAAGTTTTTGCATGCCTTTCCACGTACCATTTAGTTAAAAAAAAAACATTTCAAAATAAAACATACTATTAAAAAAAAAAAAGTATGCATTTTACAGTATGTATACTGTGAATCATGCACTTCATGTCTATCAGGTTTCTGCAAACAAAGCCACATGCATTCTCTCTTTCAGCTCTTTCCCTCTGAAAACATAAATTCTCATTTTTCTATCACATCAATGAGATGAAGCTTCCAGCCAAAGCAGATTTCATTACTGAAGCGTATGTGTGTGTGTGTGTGTGTGTGTGTTGAGCAGTCAATCAATCACGTAAGAGCAGCAGCAGTCTGTGGCTGTTTGTTTGAGCACGCATGCACTCGGCTTTCTTGCTCTTTTGTCTTACGGAAAGAAAATTGTTTCTCGTAATGGAGTTTGAGAAACGTAACAGAACAACAGGCACGGTGTACATGAGAAGTGAGACCTGAACATGACTCTGTTTTTATTACCCATGATGCAACTCCAGCAGCACACAGCAGGTTTGGGAAGGTTACTATCAACCTCGTGCAAAACAGCTGATGTGTTTTTGAGAGACGCTCCAAATGGATTCAAACTCGCCATTTGGACCCAGTTTCAAATCTCTGAATTTGTTTGCCAAATGCATTTGAGACTCTGCTATGACTTTTCTTTTATTATTCATGACTTGACATAGACTTTTATCTGTATTTTTTT